TTAATCCCAATGCCTGGAAGGCAGAGACAGGCGGATCTCTGAGAGTTCAAGGACAGCCTGGTCTACAGAGTTATTCTAGGTCAAAGATACAGAGAACCTGTCTCAAAAAGCAAAAAGTTAAAAGTAAAAATAAATGAAATAGAGGTTAAAACAAAGCTGTACAAAGATGGAAAATAGACAGAGAATTTTGATACTGTATGCTATTATGCTCTCTTTGAATTGTTTGAATGCTGAGGAAGGAGCAACAACTGCTAAAAGATATTTGTTTATAAATGCTGCTGAACTAATCCAACATAGATATTTTGATGCCTTGACTTTGAAATTTGGATCTAAGGAAATGATGCTTTGGAAAGGAGTTTCTTATTTTGTTTTCACAGAGGATGAGACCCTGTTCATTTCTTCTATTCCGATTTGGTATGATGGACCATGCCCTCCTGAAGGGTTGGTGTGAACACCTTCAGAAAATTGCTTCGCTCAACTGCCAACTGAGATGAAACTAGCACACAGGTTATACCATGAAAGACCTAATTAACGACGCCCCCATTCAGCAGGAAGCAGTTTGGAGAGAAAAAACTGCGCCCATGTTCCCAAATATGGTTTATAAACGTTCTTTAACATTTAAAGGGGGATATGATAGAGATATGAATAATTTACATTGATATGGATTTTGTTTTAGTGATTTAAATTTAAGGTCAATTTTGTTATATGTATATGTGTTTCTGATCTTGATTAAGGTACTGTGATTGTGTAGTTCATTTAAAAATATAATGTATAATTAGAAATATGGATTGTTAATAGATAATCATAATAGTCAGTTTGTAGTCATGTTAGTTAAGATTTTCTAGATGTACATAGATATATTTTAGATAGGAATTCTTCATATTTTTCAAAGATTATAGAATATTTTAATAACTTAGGACTTTTCATGACAATGAGACACTCTGCTCCTGGCAGCACCAATCTACTTCAAGAAGAAGATGGGCATCGAAGAGGATCCTTATGGAGTTTGATAGCCATTGGGCAAGAAACTGCTCTTGCCTGGACTGTTGCATGAACTGGACACAAAGAACCCGCAGAGAGAGGACTGCTGAACTTGCCTAAAGGTGAGATGGTCTTTCGGGGTTCCTGATTCATGAAAGAGTCTGCAAGACATTCTTCAGGACAAGCAGATAGTGACTGCTTTCCTGCTTTGTGGAAATGTCTGCTGGAAACTAAGGGCCTGTAGGCCGAAGATGGATGCCCCAACGGTACAGAGGAACTTTGGGTGACTGTACAGGCAGCGAGATGTCTCTGTCATTTCTAGAGTTTTAAAAGTTGTTTATTTCTTATTTACTTAGATAATATTGTATCTTTCTGGAGTCTTTGATGGAGTTAAGAATAGTTATAGTTATAGTTTTCCTTAGTTATGATAAAGATTATTGTAATTTTTACTTGATAACTGTTTTGTTATATGTAATGTTAAAGTTAAAGCCTTCCTTTTTTTGTTTAAACAGAAAAAGGGGAAATGATGTGGGAGTGTCATATATCAATCTGTTGATTTCATTGGTTAAGTAATAAACAAACTGCTTGGGCTCATAGCTTAGAACATAGGTGGGTGGAGTAAAAAGAACAGAATGCTGGGAGGAAGAGGAAGTGAGCTCAGAGACGCCATCCTCTCCTCTCCTGGGCAGACACAAACGATGAAGCTCCGACCCAGGATGGACGTAGGCTAGAATCTTCCCGGTAAGACCGGTGCTACAGTTTATTAGAAATGGGTTGATCGGGATATCAGAATTAGCCAGTAAGGCCTAGAGCTAATGGGCCAAGCAGTGCTTAAAAGAATACAGTTTCCGTGTAATTATTTCGGGTAAAGCTAGCTTTGCGGGCAGCGGGGTGCTGGGGATGCAGCCCCGCCACTCCTATTTCTACAGAGAGCTGGTAAAAATATAATACGAAAAATTGGAAATTTGGTATTGACCGATAATGTGAAAAAAATCATGATTGTGACTTGATGCTATTGGCAATTGCTAAAAGAGAGGTTGTGACGGTAAATGTTGAGAGTTGATGTGTGTGCTGAGAGTGTTAGATCTAAGTGATGGTCTGAACCAGTGGAAGAAACATTTTCAACTCAGGCGATTCTACTCTCCTTTAAAATAGGAGACTATAGCCTTTGGGAACATAATTATTCATAAAGCATTATGATATGTCCTGACAAAAGATATGGTTATGATACACAGAGCCTAAAAAGTATATTTCTCTCCACTAATCTCTTTTCTTTATAGAGGTCAGCAGTCAATGACAGGTTTAAAGCTTCTCCTCCCCAGATGCCTAAGACAGGAAAACTCGCAAATGCAGCTTTCCAAAGATGGGAAAATTTGGGTAATAGGAAGAAGACTTTGCTCAAGCCAGGCACAACCCATCTGTCCTGTTGCAGAAGCACAGGGGTTGTTAAAATTTAATAAGAGAGTGGATTGTAGCCCCATATTTCTATATGGTGTGGCAGCCAGGCTCTGAAGCCATGGGCCGCACCTGAGGTGGTCAGGTAGACCAGCAGCCAGCCTGTCACTGCCCTCAACAATAGCCAGGACATGCTACTCCTTTCTCTTTTGTTACAAATGTAGATGGCCTGGGGAGAGGTGTTTGGCGAAGCTGATGACTTAGGTGCAGGTGCTGTCTGTCCCTAGCCATGTTCCCAGAAAAGAGAATATTAATGAGGTATCCACCTCAGTTGAGCAGGGGATTAAGAGATGTTTGATATAATAAACACGGAGAGAAGCCTGAGATGCCCTTCCGTGATGATGGTGTAAGCTGTGTCTGGTTATTTCTTGCGCCTCCGTACTGGTCCAGTTAGGGAAAATAGTTTTCTATGTCGGGGCCCACGGGCCCTGACACATCCTAACCCTGCCATCACTGGCTTTGGTAGGGGAAACTGTTCAGGCTGGTTAGAAAGCTGTCTGGCCCCCTTGCCTGGGCATTCTCCCATACCCACACCCCTTTCCTACCATCACTTCACCCATTCTTCCTCTCTCTTTTGCCCCCAGATTCTTCTTCTAGAGTAGGAACCCAGCTAGCTGCCTGACCCCTTTCTCAAAACTACCCCATACCCACCATTCCAAGCCATTTCCCCATATTTACCCCACCTTCTTTTGCCAAGGTCAGGTAAAGCCACTCGGGGTTGCTCCGTTCACGTGACTCCAGGGCTAGATGAAATACCTCCTGCCCTGCCCACCGTTACCCCTCAAGGGCCAAGAAATGGCTGACTCACAGACCTGTCCCTGGACCTGACCTCTTTATCACCACTGTTCCAAAGACCTTGCTCTTTGTCCTGAGCTTACTACAGTGGGGTGTGTTCTGCCGGGCCAGTGACAAGCCTGGCTAGGTGTTGGCACTCAGCTACTCGCTGAGAGAACACATGTTGGCAAAAGTAGAGAGTGTTCCCATACTTGCTTCGCACAGACACGCAGGTTGTTTTCCAAAACTGAAGAGTGACAGCCATCCAAACATCTGCCCCGAACCTCGGCCCCATGAGACAACATTCTCAGGCTGAAATTGGACAACAAGGCCACCTCCGCTTTGCATTTGCATCAGAGCAGGCTCTTTGGCCTTGGTCCAAGAGCACGCATCAGCTCTTCACCTTTGCTCCCTGGTAACCGGCAAGAGTTTACTGTTCAGTAAGGCCGCCATGAAAGCTAGAAATGTTCCCAGGGACCACTGGGTCCAAACAGCTCACAAAGGTTGAGGAAGGAGCCCAGGGTGGTCCGGACGCAGGCTGGGGTGAGACTACACCTCCCTTCTGTGAACCTCCTTGGTCAGGAATCAGGACACTATTCCTTGCAATCCCATACAGGCTGAGGACTGAGCCTGTTCCATTTGGATCAGAAATACAACCTCCACCGGCATCCCACAGGTAAACTGAGTCTGTATCTCAGTAGGGTTTTCAGCAATCACAGCCGCTTCACTTTGCTCAGCCTCTCAAGAGAGACAAGTTAAGCAGGACTTCTGCCCTAAGGGCTCCTTCCGATTCCATGATCTACAGGTTTGGTAATCCCATTTCCCATAGGCTGAAGCAGCTGAATTCAGGCTCTGTAGCCCTTCTCTAATGACACTGGACTAGGCCCCTCTCAAGCAATTTCACCTCAGAAGTTCGGTCTCTGGGCCATCTTCCCAGAATTAAGGTCTGAGAGGTGGAGAGCTGGGCAGATGTCATTCAGACAGCAGGCCCGCCAAAATGTCAGAACTTCAGCTCTGAACCCACAGTGCTGAGACACCAACTTTGGGACCCCAGATGTAACCGCTAGACCTCATTCTATAGAAATACACTTAACCAGAAAGACTGAGCGGCCTGGGTGCAGATTCCTATCAAAATTACCTTGTAACTGTAAGTTTCTGTCGCTGGCTTCCCCAAAGAAGCCAAGTAGGTTTCGGTGGCTTGAGTCCCTCCCCCTTTTCTTTCTGGTACTCTTTCTGGGTAAAAGAGGTTCCAGCTCCTCCCGACCTAGAGTCTGAAGCTCAGTACTCACAGGGGAAGGGGGTGGGGTCAGCTCCTCACTTGGGCCGGAACGATCGATCGTCGGTGGAAAGGCAGGAGCCTGGCGCACAGAGAAGGTGGCCGCCGCCCGTCCTTGCCCGCTGCGCTTTAACTGGCGGCCTGCAACAGCGCGTGCTCTTCTTGGGAAGGGCCGGGGCTGCACGAACGGGCTCCGGGCGCGGGTGCGGTTGCCCCACCTAGCTTGTGGCACACTCCTTTGCGCGGGACCGGGCGCGGGTGCGGTTGCCCCACCTAGCTTGAGGCACACTCCCTTGCGCGGGACTCGACGCGCGCCTCTAAAGCTTCCTCATTCGCACCCCGCCCACCCCCACTTGCCTCGCGGGCAGCAGGGCCGCCACTTTACGGTCCTGGGACCAGGCCAGAGCCCGCCCCGGCTAGGGCAGGGCAGCGTTGTAGAAGGCGGAGCTCGGAGAGAACTGCCCCAGGCGGGCACCTGAATAAGAGGAACCCAGGTTCGCCCGCGCCAGCTCCGCGTGGTGGTGGGCGGTGGCTGGGTCATGTTGCTGGTGTTGTTGAGCCTGGTAGCAATGTACAGGAGCGCCCTGCCCGGAGAGCCGGTAAGCATCCCCCTCTCGTGAGAGCGTCCTTTTTGTTTGTTTGTTTGTTTCCCATCCTTTTAGCTGAACCCTGACCCGCCAGCCCAAATTTCTAGGAAATTGTCCATGGACCACCTTCTGGAAGGGGCCAGATTGGCACCCCTGAGATAACCACAACGGGCTTTGCATCTCCATCATCCTTCTATTCCCAGCCTGGAAGGCATCTGCTGTTAGAATGCTTGCTGGAGACATAAACTTTAGCTGTGTCTCAGATGCCATCCTGGGCATTTGGGCTCATCTAGTCTTAGTGGTCTCCTTTAAAAAAAAAACAAAAAAAAAAAAACAAAAAAAAAAACGGTGCTACTCAACTCATACAGGTGGTACACCTTGCCTCCTGCTTCAGGATGACTAGACAGAATCACTCGCATCTGCTCTGCCCACCGACTAGGTTACCAGAACACAGTGCACCCATCTGCTTGCTTGCTTTTCCTATCGGTCTTGGACCATGTAGATTCCTGAAGGCAGCATTCATTCCTTCCTTCTCCTGTGCCCAAGAACAAAGGAATCTTTCGAGACGTTCCAGAGGAAAAACCTCCTCCTCAGAAAGGCATTAGATGCAGTCTCTGCCAGGTTCACACAGCACTCGGTATCCCTGATGACTGGGAAAGTCAAAGCTGGTATATGGTGTTGCCAAGCCACCAGCTGCTGTGCTTGCCCTCTCTGTGCCAAAGAAAAATTGTCTCTGGGAGCATTTGCTGCAAAGGACTACTGAATGAACTCTGTGAAGGTTCGCACTGGTGCTTGGCTTTTCGCTATACCTTGTCTCACTACTGGTCAACTAGATCTTAGTTCCTAGTGTGTGGCTCATTTGTTTAAAAAGAAAGTCACAAAGCAAAGGACCATGGATGACTTCACCCAAACCAAATTTGTCCCACCAAAACCTTTGTTTTCTGCCTTCACAAGGTTTTTGGAAATGAGGAAGCTGGGGTCCTGGAGCCCTTTGGGTTGGTCACGTTGCATCTTGCCGCTGAAGATTGCTAACAACTAGAATAAATGTTTCAGGCCCGAACCACACTTTTCATTACTTTTCTTTTGTAAACTTCAAGGGATTTATTTAGTACTGGCCTTTCTTAGGTGTTGATGAGTTTTACTTTTTTGGAAGCTGTTTTAGGAAGATGTGGTGAAATAACAATTGCCCCTGGTTTTCTAAGCAGTTCAGGTGAATCCTAGATCAAAAAAGAAGCATGATATGAACCTGGGGAAGGTGCAGTGGGTTGCATCCACTGCTGCCTGCTTTCTTCTCCTCTTTGTATAGCCAAATGTTAACTTGGAAAAATCAATAAATATTACACTATCCTGAAAACCAGTAGTTAAACATTAGATAGCCAAGGTACCTCACAATGGGCATCAGTAATCTGAGGCAGGGGAGGTGTGTGTGTATGTGTGTGTGTGTGCATTTGTGCATGCATGTGTGCGTGTATGTGCACATGTGTGCATGTATGTGCATGTGCACACTCACATGCACACATGCCTGTAAACATGTCCTCAGAAACCAGGGGCATTGGCTTCTGGAGCTGGAGTTATAGGCAGTTCCGAGTTGTCCGATGTGGAGCCATCGCTCCAAGTCCCAGCTCACTGTTCTTTTAAAATTTGTCACTTGTGCATGCATCTAAGGAAAAAGATGGTGTTTTGCCTAATTTGGTAAAATAAGCATTGTGGTTTGCTGGCTTTGACATGACATTTGATTTCTCTCTTTCCTGCAGACTATTCAGTGTGGTTCTGAGCCTGGTAAGTGCACTAGAGAATGGGTATTTGGAAGCACAGGTGTACAGTAAGAAGGTCTGAGTCAGGAAGGGGGTCCTGGAAGACTAGGCACATGGTGATAATACATTGCCTTGTTTGCTAATGGGAGTGAGGTTTTCAAGGCAGAATTTGGGGAGTAAGGATGTGTTTGAGATGGACTGGCCTCCCAGTAAATTAGCACACAGGTAGCGTGGAACTCACCAGGCTGAGTGGAAAGCAGTACCTGCCATTCCACAGAGGGACACTGATTGTGGTGGGAGGGGCCATACCATTGATTGTTGGGACTAGGAAGCAAGTTTTTAATACATGGGTATTTTGAAGATTGAGTGGGTTTTGTCCAAGAAACGTGAATAGGGAGGGGAGGGGAGCAGTTTAGAAATGGTTATGGTGAGGGCTTGCAGACTGGAGTCCAGGACTGAGGCATGAAGAAAGCATGATTGACGTTAATGAACATGTCAAATACACTAAACACACACCCACACGTACATGCACACACATGCACCTGGAACACCCCAAGTGCTGTGGAGTTTGAGACCACGAGGCTGAGAGAAATTATTTAGGTGTATAAACCAGCCAGCATCCAGAAGAAGTCTGGCTTTCCTTAGCAGAAGTGGGTTGCGATGGAGCAGGGCGTATCACATGGAGGGAATAGCTTCTGACTGCGCCTGAAATGGGAATGTCATTAGAGGTGGTCTTGCCTTTCCCCAGGGCCGTCTCCAGAGTGGCTGGTGCAACACAATCTCACCCCAGGAGACTTGAGGAGCCTCCAAGTGGAACTTGTTCAAACTTGTGCGAAAAAGGATTGCAAAAAAGAGGATTTTTCAGTTTTGATGAACATAAGCTGGATACTCCGGGCAGATGGTAAGTCCGCATCAGTCAAAGCATCTACTAAGCCTGAAATGTGAAGGATATAGGACTCATTAATTCTACTTTTAGGCACAGACCACAGATGTGCATTCACCAAAAGTCACATCATAGGTGTTCATAACAGCATCCAACCAAGTGACCAGGGGCCTAAAAGAACCACGGAGTGGAAACTATGGAACTCAACAAGGAGAATTCTTTCTGTGTATGTGACAATATGGATGTCCCAAGCAGCCAGACTCCAAAGAACTATATAGCTGTATCTGTAATCATACCTATGGTAACACACAGAAGAACAAGGCTAAGCTAGAGGTTTGAAGCCAGGATGGGAGTTTGGGGGCTGCTCTGGCTTGGAAGTAATTGACAAAAAGCATAGGCAGCAAGTGGGGGGAGTGGTTCTTGCCCTGTGCTGGTTGTAAAATGCGCAAGGTCACTGAGGAGCAGTGATACTCTGCAGCCACACTTCCTGGAAGAGACGGGTCCCCTAGTTTAGGAGAAGCTCTGGCTTCGGCTAATTATCCACTTCCAAATGACATCATGAAGTCCTGGCATTTCCTCCAGATTATACGGTAAGCAACATGTAAGTTCCTTAGACAAGCCAGTCCTGAGACCCTAATGCCTAGGCTCGTGGTTTCCATTCGCCAACGTTATACTTGGTTTTGTCAAGAGTCCAGCACCTGGGAGACTGAAACGGGGAAATTGTTGCAAGTTTGAGACCAGCCTGGGCTATTTACTGGATTCCAGGACAGTGGGATACAGGGTGAGAACTTGTCTCAAAAAAAAAACTCAAAATGGTCCATTTATCTGGGAAGAGGAGTCAGTGACAGGCTTCATCAGTATGTTTTTCAGAGTAGTAGGAGAGATAACCACAGCAATGTCAAGGGATGCCCCAAGGGGAGCTATGCTCTATGTGAGGACCAGACAGACCAAGGCAGGGCTCCAGAAGACTCCTGTGAGATGCTACAGTAGGCTCTGGCCCCACACCAAGCAGGGCAAGGTCTTTGGTTGATGTTGTTATGCACTTTAAAGTAAACTTGGAAAGAGTAGAGATAGAGAAAGAAACCCATGAGAAAGAATGGCCTGCATGGACCCAGGGCCGTTAAAACAGGCATAGTGTGGTGCCGATGCGTGGGCAGTCTTTGTAGAAAGAAAAATGCAGTCAAAGCTAAAGCCTGAAGCATCTTCTAAAACCAAACTATGCAGTGCATGGGACCCATTAATTCATCCCTAGGCACATCCGGAAGAAGAACCAATACGCATGCACTGAAAGACAGGCATAGGATATGCACAGCGCTCCAAGCAATTCATCTCCTTCAAGAGACCTAGAATGGGGCAGATGGCATCACTAGCCATGGGTACTTTGTCTAACTCAGGCCAGCCTAGAAGGAGTAGAGCTCTTGGGCTTTGGAATTTGGGTTTGTTATCTATTGCTGCTGAGCTGTGAAAGTTCAGGCAGTGAACCCCCCAAGACTCCTAAAGCTCCCCCCTATTTGCCCTATCTGAACATTGGATACCACAGTACACAACAGCTGAGATGAAGCATTGGCATTATAGAATACGATGTGAGCCACGTAAGTGCCAATGAAACAACTTCCCACTTCATTGTCTCTGCAGCCAGCATCCGCCTGTTGAAGGCCACCAAGATCTGTGTGACTGGCAAAAGCAACATGGAATCGTACAACTGTGTGAGGTGCAACTATACAGAGCCCTTCCAAAGGCAGACCAGACCTTCTGGAGGCCGAGTAAGCACGTGTAGGCACAAGGCTTGCTTGGGAAGCACCAACAATGGACCTCAGAAAGCCTGATGATGAAGAATGAGATGCCCGCCTGGGTTTGCATGCCACTTGTCTGCCCTGGGGATGCCAGCATCTTTGAGACTCAGTGTCCAACAGAGTGAAGGGAGCTAGACTTAGATTATACCCTTCCTCTAAAATGCCACTCCTCTCTCACTCTGAGTTACATCAGCAAACCGGGCTGGATCCTCTCCCTGCATAGACGCTGGCCAGAGACCTGTCTCAGCTGGACCGTAGAGACGAAATGACAAATGAAAAAGGGGGCTGCTGAGCCTGATAACCTGAGCTCAGTCCATAGGACATACATGGTAGAAGGAACAGATCCTTCAAGTTGTCCTGACCTGCATACACACACACTATGGCATGATCCCCCACTAGCCTACACACACACACTGTGGCATGACCCCCCACCCAGCGTACACACACTCTATTTAAATGTGAAGCATTTACAAATGAAAACAGCCCCCACAGAGGCTCTGCTCTTGGACTGTACACCTGCCCTGCTTTGCTTTGCAGTGGACCTTCTCCTACGTGGGCTTTCCCGTGGAGCTGAGCACAGTCTATTTCATCGGGGCCCATAACATCCCCAATGCTAACATGAATGAAGACAGCCCTTCTTTGTCTGTGAACTTCACCTCTCCAGGTAAACATCCCCACTCTTTGGCGATTCTGTCTTACTATCGCTCCTGTGTTATGGCATGTGGTTTGGTGTGGAGTCTTGGGAAGCCTTTGAAGCCTTGGTTTCCCCACCCGTGGACACAGTGCTAATCACTCCACACTCAGGGTGGAGAGTATTGTTAGGTAAGCATGAGGAAACCATGTTCCTGGGTGCCAGGCAGGAAGCAGGATGTACCATCTCTCCAAGCACTTGCCCTGGGTCCTACGCACAGCAGTGGTGATGCCCTGACTGGGTTCCTTTGTGGTTGGTACCATCCAGGGTGGCTTTGGTGCCACACCACTTACTATATGGCGCTTTCCAGCTTTCCTAATGACACCAAAGCTCACCGGGATTTTGCAAAGTGAGTTTTATTTGGGGATGGTTTTAGAGACGCTGCAACAGTAGACCAAGTTTCCATCCCGCTCTCAGTTCCTCTTGCTGTTAGCATCTGCTTTCCAGAGTCCACTTATGAGAACTAGGAAGATAACATCGGCATATTTCCATCTACTCAACCCCAGGCTTTGGGGATTTCAGCTGCTTAGCCATTGCGTTTTCTTCCTGTTCCAGAGGCACTTAGCCCCTTAGGGCACCTCAGCCTCCTCTGGTTGTTCTTTTCCATGACCTCATCAAACATCAATAGTTTGTCGCCAATTTGAGTTTGTCTGATGTTTGTTTCATATGTAGGCCAGGAATCTGAGATTTGGGCATGAATCTCACAGGAGACATTGAACTCTCCTCACTATATTCTCCCTGGCGTGTGTTAATTAGTGAGGGTCATGCCTACTGGGCAGTTGGGTTCCTACCACCTAGAGCCTCGTGTCTGGAAGAGACGGAAACTACATGTATTAGCAACTCCCACTCTTTGGTTTCCAAGTCACTTCTTGGTGACCATTTTGAGAAAGGCTGTGCTTTAAATGAGACTACTTACAGCTTCCACGGGTGAATGATTTTCTGTTTAACTGTAAAATGATTTGTCTGAAGAGAGTGTATGTGGGGTGTGTGTGTGTGTGTGTGTGTGTGTGTGTGTGTGTACTGGGAAAGGGGTTATAGGAGAGATACCTTTTACTCAAATGTAACAACTTTCATTCAAATTCCCAGGCTGCCTAAACAGTGTAATGAAATATAAAAAGCGGTGCATTGAGGCAGGTAAGTAGATGTAGCATTTTGCTTTTGTCATTTAGAGATCCTCCTAACTGGGACCCATGGAGCTCCATTCAGCCACAGATAGATAAAGGAACTGAGATGTGGAGATGGAAGTTCTCTGTCTAAGTCACTCAGTGAAGGAGCGGCCTTGGGTTAAGCAGCTATCCAGACTGGGACAGACTCTTAGGTTTATTAGAGCAGCAACAGCAATGGGAAACCACCCTATCCCTTGGCGAAACCTACACGTTATCCCAAACCCCACTTATAGCATGCTCATGGAAAGTTGCTTTGTGATTGGAGGAGAGCCCCACTATCCTTTACACCTGCTATCACAGCTGACCTGTTGTCAGCGGAGGCTCTGGGTACCTTCTGTTTGGATTAACAAACACGGTCAAGTGTTGGTCCAAGTAAGGCCCTGGAGGCCTTCTCGGAAGACTACCTCCTATTCTTAGAAGATTCTCTGATCTGTGAAGGAGCAGCTTTAGGATAAGTCAGTACTTCATCCAATTTCTAAGGGTGAGTATAAACTTTGGGGCAGTATAGTCTTGTGATGCTAATGGGGTTAGAGATATTGGCTGGGGGTAGGGGATCTTTATTCCCACCAAGAGAGCACTCTCAAAGAATTTTGAGGCTCTAAGGTTATGAGGTGCAGGACCTAGAATGAGTCCTCCTCCAACCCACTCCAAGAACCAGCTCCCAGCCAGGGGCCGAACTGGTCCCATCAGCAGGGAGGCTAACTTGTGCTATTATATAGACATGTTCCTGGAAATTTGCCCGGTCTTATTTGCAGGTCACATGAGTGAGACAACCGATTCCTGTAAGCTGTGTGGCATTTCCTTCCTTTGTATCCAGGGACACTGACAGTCTGTCTCAAAGCTCTGAGCCTCAGTTCACTTACTCCATATTCTGAGGCATTCCTCCTAAACTGATGTCCCTCCGCCATCCCAGAAAGGAGAAAACAGCAATCCTAGCTCTCTTACCTCAAAATGTAGGGTGAACATTGAACTGAGTTGTAGACTTTGATCTGTATCTTCCATTCCTAGCTATTTTTAGTAAAGTAAATGGCATGGGGGGGGGGTGTCCCTAAACTTTCTTAGACATCAGATACTTTGCAATTCTAGGACAGTGTCGGAAGATATAGTATAGTTGAGTTCATGTCTCTTAGGTGTGTGCCTAAGAATTTAGATTTGTTTTTGTAAAGCTCCCTTGGGGACTCAGATAAGGGAGGGGTTACCTGGTCACCCATGTGGTTCTCTCTCAACTTGTAGGAAGCCTGTGGGACCCAAATATCACTGCTTGTAAAAAGAACAAGACGACAGTTGAAGTGAATTTTACAACCAATTCGCTTGGAGAAAGATACATGGTTATCATTCTACAAAACCAAATACAATTGAATTTTTCTCAAGTGGAGGAGGTATTTTCCCCTTTACCCCCTTGTTACCACCCCATCTCCAACCCCAGATACTTCAGTATCTTGAAGTACAGACACTTTAGAATCCTTTGAATAGGTTTTCTTCCAATAGATCCCAGAGCTATCTGTTGTCCAAGTCCCTGTAGGCATCCTATGGATGATGAGTCTAAAGCCAACTACAGACAGAAGTTTGAGGCTTCTGAAGTGAATCCGTCTTCACATAGTCAGGAACAGTGGCTTCATCACTGACTCTGTCTACTCACTCGTGACTACAGCTCTGACTGTCTCTCATTTATCTGCACCAGAATAAACCGACGCGGAGGTCTGTGGCCATTTTGGTGGGTGAGGAAAGTGAAGGTACCGAGTTCGAGGTGAGTTAAACAGCGGTCTGCAAAGGAAGGGCCATGACAGAGCTGTTTGTTCCACCATGGATGCTTTCTGTATGTCTTCATGGGATGCTAGGGGCCGAACCCAGGACTTCTTGAATTCTAGGTCAGTGTTCAGCAACTGATACACATTAGCCCTCCACATGCATTTTAAGGATGGCAAGTCTCCCCGCAAAGGCCCCCCTCGAGCTGGGTGTCGGGGACTCCTTAGTGTCTACAAGAGTGAACGCTGACACCACAGGTGTGGTGCCTTTGAGTGGGTTGGTGGCTGTTGACTTCCCAAAGGGCTTTTATTTCTATCTTTTGCCCTGGATCCTCAGAGTAATTCTGAGATGGGACAGTCGTTTTATTTCCCCAAAGCCTCGGTTTTAACTCAGAAGTGAAGCTGAGTGGGTCGAAGCTGGAAGGCTGTCCAGTGTCTAGGTCAGTGTCTGAACTTACGAGAGCAGCTGTTCACCTTCTGGGAGCCTCAGCTGGCCCAGGTGGAAACAGGAAGTTGGAAGGGTAGGTACTCAGGTCCCTGTAGTCTACAACATGGATACACAGAGGGTCACAGTCCACGACTGTGCCCGCGAGCCATTCTCCACTCCCTCGAACATGAAGCACTCAGGATGACCAAGAAAGTGGACCCTGGCATGACAGCACCTGCACCTTCCGGGAAGTCGTGGACTGACCTAGTGCTGGGACGCTTACCTACTATTGTCCAGGGGAGAGATTTGTATGTTTATTAGGATGTAGCTGCCCTATCAGATAAGGAAAACTCTGCAGCTGTAACGTGAACAAAGTTCAAGGGCATCGCTGGGGCATTGCCAGTATCTTGGTCCAGAGTCACCGGACTGTGTATGTGTGGGCTACAGAAAGGGAACCAAGGGGGAAACTATTGTTGCCAATGCCAGGAGGTGAAAATAACATTTAGGGCTGTGCTGGAAGTGTGAGCACTGTAGTCTTCCTCTCCTTTTCCTCAGCTGATACCTTATTTCCACCTCTGTGAGCCTGACTGCATCCGACGCAAAGGACCAGTTGGGCTTTGTATAGAGACAAGTGGCCCCTACCCTCCAGACAACAGTAAGTACCAGTCATTACCACAGGATGATCGGAGAGGCTCAGGACACACAGGGCCCCTTTGAGATGTAATAGACTATTCTCTGTCTGGGAGGAGCATTATGAGGTCCCTGCCGGTGTACCATGAACAATACCTCTGCTACCCAGAGATCTCATAAGCAAGGAAGAACAAAGGCTCTAATTACAAACACAATATCTTTTCAAAAGCAGGATATACAGAAGGGGGAAAAAAGAGCGCAAGATGGTTGTTTGAAGTGCCGCAGACAATGAAAAGAGTTACTGGGAATGAGGGGGCCGGTGTGAGCAGGGGCTGGCATGAGGGGCTGGTGTGAGCAGGGGCTGGCGTGAGGGGCATGAGGGGCCGGTGTGAGCAGGGGCTGGCGTGAGGGGCTGGTGTGAGCAGGGGCTGGCGTGAGGGGCGCGAGGGGCCAGTGTGAGCAGGGCTGAGTTCATGAGGGATATTCCAGTTCTCTCTGAATCCTATTTGGTTAACAAATCAGGAATACTGGCACCAAAACCTACCTCCCTGGTGCCGGAGAGCATGTTCTGGAAAATGTCTCTGCATTTAGAGATACGTCAGCAGTTCTTTTTACTAACAATGGACAGATGTTCTGAAACTAGCCCATGGGTTACAAAAGACAAAAAACAGCCAGCCAAACTTTAGATAGCTACTCCCCCAGGCCCTGACTTCTTATGTGTGCACACTGCTGTGTGTACATTATGTTTGTAAGTTCTTCCCGAGGAACAAAGATTCTTCAGACAACAAAAGCCATCATTCAAACCCTGGTTGCCACGGTGAAAAGAAACTTAAGTTTGGAGAAAATCCCCTAATTCCCTGTTCCTCTTGGGAGGAAAGGGCTGGTGAGATCACTCAGTGGGTAGAATCGCTTGCTAGGAAGGTCTTACAACCTGGGTCTGAGTCCTGGAAGCCATCGTGAAAGGACAGAAGAAATGACCTCATGTTGTCCTCTGACCTTCACACACACTCTGGCATCGTGTGCCTGCGTTCACACACACCACAGTAGCCTAGCCATTAGTGGCCGAGCTGTCTTTCTAGCACACAGCAATGCATTCTTTTGAGAGAGACCTGAATTCTGCGAAAGAACCCTTAATCAGCACACCCTAAAGCTCTTCAAGCCCTTGGTTAGAAAAGGTCTAAACCTTCACCAAGAAGAGTAAAAAAAATCCATGTACAAGTAGAGGCCAAGTACAGCTTTGCTTGCTAAAGGTGACCAAGCTGTTTCCTGCAGAGAGGACCATGCTGGGAGGCTGGGTGCCCCTCATCTTGGTGCTGCTGGCGGCTACATGGGTGCTGGCAGTTGGGATCTACCTAACTCGGAGGCAAGGTAAGGGCGGTCACTCTGAAGTTACCCCGAGATCCTCCCCACCTGCCTGGACAGAGAAGGGGATCTAGCTAGACGTGGTGGCAGAAACCTTGCAGTCTGCCCTTGGGAGGAGGAGGAGGAAGTGGGCTCAGGAGTTCAAGGACAGCCCCCATTAGTTGCTGTTCAAGGCCAACTTAAGCTAAGCGAGAACCTGTCTCAAAGAGCCACAAAGGAGGTCTCAGTGTACTGTGAGTCGCTCCTGTCATGGCAGAAGATTAACTCTGTGCTTTAAGCTCAGAAAGCCACATGAACGAAATTTCACCTCAGGAATCCCTGCACTTAGAAGATGCTGCTGGCGCCGTTAGCTACAGGGCTACAGTAGCTTTGGACCTAAGTCTTGTTGCGTAGCATAGTGTGGGGCTTAACTTTATAGCAAAATAAAGGAACTCTACCACCTGCAGGTAGAAAAGAGACCACAGAGTTGACCCAACTCCTGATATGACATGTAAGAGGTCACTCTGTGTCAAAGTACAGAAATTTTTAACAGTTGGCTTCAAACCGGTACCCTCAAGCCTAAACGGCTGCTCTAAGTTGATCTGAAAACAGAGCTGGATTATGGCAGCTGACTTACTGATAGGGGCTTAGGAAGCTGTGAAGATTTAAGAGTCAGTGTTTCAGGTGTTCAAAAGGACTATCAGGGCTATTGTTCCCCTGGCAGGAACAGATCGCCACCCTGGCTGACATTTCTCAGTGATGGTTTAGACTACTGTAAAGACTTGCTATTTGCTGGTAACTAACAAAGCTCCCCCGACAGGCCGGAGCACGGAGACTTCCTTCCCTGCCGCCAGCATGCTCCTGCCCCTCATTAAGGTCCTGGTGGTTTACCCGTCTGAGGTATGTTTCCATCACACGGTCTGCCGCTTCACCGACTTTCTTCAGAACCACTGCAGAAGCGAGGTCATCCTTGAAAAGTGGCAGAGGAAGAGAATAGCTGAGATGGGCCCAGTGCAGTGGCTCAGTGCACAGAAGCAGGCGGCGGACAAGGTGGTCTTCCTTCTTTCCAGCGACGCCCACGGTCTCTGCGGCAGTGCCTGCGGCCCCAACACGGGCGGCGCCAGTGAGAAAGCTCAGGACCTCTTCCCTCTGGCCTTTAACCTCTTCTGTAGTGATTTCAGCACCCAGGCTCATTTGCACAAATACATGGTGGTCTGTCTTGGAGGAGCCGACATCAAGGGCGACTATAACGCTCTCAGTGTCTGCCCCCAGTATCGTCTCATGAAGGACGCCACTGCCTTCCACACAGAACTCCTCAAAGCTCCACGAAACATGACCGTGAAGAAACGGTCCCAAGCCTGCAGTGGCAGCTGCTCCCCATTGTAGTCTGTGCAGGACAGGAAACCCTGAAGTCCTCCTGCTCTTCAAGTTCCAGGGACAGAATGCTTTGGGATGGCCCTGAGGCTTCCTGTACAGGCTGTGTGTAGGGGTTACTACATCACAGAACTTGCTTTAGACCTGGAGTCTGCAGTCAGAGTTTGCGCAAACATGCCTGAGGCTAGTCACCAGTAGGTCTTAGGCATATAATACAGTTACAGACATTAATGAATGGAAGCTAAATTTACAAAAGCCCAATCACATATATCCCCAAACCCCAATAATGATTATCCCTGAAAACTAAGCATTCTGGCATGAAGTAATAAGGCATTTCCCAGTCAGGTGTCCTGCGCACTGCCCATGTCCTGTGCTGCACACGGGACTGTTCAGCCCTGTAACATTTTAATGTATTGATGAATAGTCCGTTTGGGAAGCGCTCACTAATTCAGCAACTTCCTAAGAGAAGAGGCCTATTACACACACAAGCTGGACACATCTTGTCTGACCAGACGGCCCACTGTACTGTCTGCTATCTTTACAGTACTTTTCCCTTGTCAAGCTTCTAGACCAGCAACCTTTATTTTTGTTCGGAGAAGTGCTAGGAACTGAACCAAGGCTACTGTACAGGTTAGAGAAATGGCTTGCCATTCAAATGAGCCCCAGCCCCTTCAGTAAATAGGAAAATACTTGGCCAGTCAGGTGTGGCAGCACACACTTTTAATCCCAGCATCCAAGTGGAGAACTAATGAGCTCGAGCTCAGTCAGAGATAAGTAGCGAGACTGTCCGAGACAAACAAAAACATGTTACCCATAAACCCAGGGTCTACTTTTGCCCAGTTACCCATCCACTGTTCTAGTTCCCAGAGTTCATGGTCAGTGCACATTTCCTGTTCAAGTCAAAACTAATTCACTGAAATTAGCTCTCCTGAAGTAATACTATCTTTTTATAATCTAGTACTTTAAAAAACCACCAAGGGCTGGAGAGGTGGCTCAGAGGTTTAGAGCACTGACTGCTCTTCCAGAGGACCTGGGTTCAGTTCCCAGCACCCACGTGTTAGCTCACTGTCAACTCCAATTCGAGGGATTTGATACCATTTTCTGGCTTCTAAGGGCACTCTATATACATTAAAAAGATTATGATATGCACACACTACCAGTGTTTTGCTTGCATTGCCTGTATGCCCTATGCATGCTTGGTGCCTGAGGTCAGGAGAAGGTGACAGGGTCATCTAGACCTACAGCTATGGACAGGTATGAGCCACTGTGTGGATGCTGGGAATCAAACCAGGGTCTTCTGCACGAACAAATGCTCTCCACTGCTGAGCTAGCTCTCTACACCCCCTAATATAAATAAATCTTATTATTAAAAAATCCCCCAAACCCAGAACAAGCAGTAACAGTGCACAGATCTATAACATCTTGAGTCTTCTAGCTCTTGACTTTCTTGAAGAAGCTTTTTTAGTGTAGAAACCACAGAAATGGATCTACATTAGCATATGTATTTGTCTAGTAAGGCTTCATATACCATAATAAAACTGTTTTGTAACATTATCCAGTTTTAGGTAGTTGACTGTAAAAATGTTTGTAACTGGAGGCTGGGCATGGTGATGTGAGGACCTGACTTTGCAAGCTCTGTTTTAAAGAAGGGGCTTCATCTTAAGTCATATAATGATCGGGGGTGGCAGGATGGGGGAGGTTAGGGGAGGCGATCTCAGCTCTCGAAATGTGCTGCCATAGAAGAAATTTGGGCACAGACCCTAAAAGTGGGCAATTAAGAAGATAGGGAGAAAGGCCATAAAATTTAATGCGGTCCAGATGTTTGTTCATAGGGGGGCATCCTGTCCTTGAAGATACCTTGTCAGCTATTAATGGCTCTTTGTTAGGTTTTCGTGCCCCAAAACTGACCAATGGTTTTAGAAATTACCTTACCCTAAACCCTCCTTCCCCAATCCCAAGAAGCCATGCCATGAGCTCCCCCGACTACAGCATTTCCCCTTTAAAGGTTCAACCCTCTCAGGGCTCCCTGCCATACTTTCTGCACCCACCATGCTGGGGTGCTGGAAAGGTGTTGGCCGAAACTTCAGTTTGTATATTAAAAACCCTCATGCAGTTTGCATGGGAAATCTGGCTCCATGATTTCATCTGGGCACCAGAAACTTGAGCCTAACAGTGGCACACGCCTTTAATGGCAGAGAAATTTGAGTTCTAGGTCAGTCTGGTCTACGTAGTTCCAGAACAGTCAGAGTTACATAATTGAGAGACCTTGTTTAAAAACAGAAGCAAGTTTGTGTCTGGTCAGGTGTAGTGGCACTTTTGAGAAATGTATTTTTAATTATGGTAGGTGTGTGTATCTGCATGTGGGTGTGTACAAGTGAGTACAAGCAACCACTTGGAAGAGGCCAAGGTCATCAGATCCCTTAGGACTGGAGTTACTGATGATTGTGAGCTGCCACGGGGGTGCTGGGAACTGAACCTAGTTCTAAAAGAGCAGCGAATGTTCTTGAACACCGAGCTCTCTCTCCAGTCCGTGGCACGTTTTAAATCACAATGCTCCAGAGGGACATGGGCAGAGCTGTGAGTTCCAGGCTGAAGGGTGTCTCAGGAAAGTTGGTAATTGCATATTCTCCTCAAAGGTCATGTCTTGGGGTTGTGGGTTAGTGGCAGAGAATTTGTGTGTGATATACAAGGCCCTGGGTTCAATGCACAGCAATATAAATAGCAAATGTGAAAGGCTACATCATGTGTTCTAACACATGCCTTAGGGATAAAATAAAACCCATGATGAAGTGCAAACTCCCTGCATCCAGCTTCGTAAGCAGATACTTTGTGATGGCGGAGGCAGCACCTAGTGTGGGAAGGCTGCTACTGGATGGCCGCGGTAGTGCTTAGTGTAGCAAGGCGACTACTTGGCAAGACAGCTATCCAATGCTTCACAAACGTACTGATAATAGAGGGTGGATATAGCTTGTGTCACAACTTGGACCAGAAACCAACTTCCTCTGAATCAACACCCACCACAGTAAGTAAGAGACACTCATGTGGAGGACGATTACAACAGGTAAATTATACATCTGAAAGCGTAGGGCTGATGGTAAACTCTGTTCCAACGACCCAGAAACATAAAATAACAGGTAATTTTCAGACTTGAAAGTATATATCCAAATAGTATTATTAACCATTGCTACATCCAAGGACCCCTCTTGGACCCAACAAAGAACTTTACCTGGTGACTCTTACAGTCCCACAATTCTCCATCTTGGACTTATACGTTCTCTGCCTATCTCCAGGTCTCATCTGTCTCTACTTTTATCTCCCTCTCAGTCCTCCCCAAGCTGACTCTGGTGATGGTGATGGCAGGAGCAGATATGTAACAGCAGGCTGAAGCCACATGCTCCACCTAACCTACCTTCTTGTGTCACAGCCCCAGGGACTGCTCCCTGCCCTGCCCTTGTCTATACCATGTCCTTTCTGTAACTTGCTGCAGCTCAGGGGCTTTCCAAGGGTCCAGACTGGCTGGCTATATTTAGTTCAGCTTCTCTCCAGAATGTTCACAGATTGAAGTCGGTTGATCATACTGAACTCCAAGAGCTTTTACTTGTTCCTCAGGAAAAGGCAAACTAGAGTCTTAAAGATGAAGTTAGTTATAAACTACGGCAGCCACCTGATTTACCTGTACAGTATAGGTTAATGATTCTAAATTCTTTCGTTTTATTTTTTGGGGGTGGGGTGGGGTGGAGTGTTCTCTGTGTAGCCCTGGCTGTCCTGGAACTTGCTCTATAGATCAGGCTGGCCTAGAACTCATGAGATCGGCCTGCCTCCTGAATGCTGGGTTTAAAGGTGTTCTAAATTAGTCTTCAATCCTGTCTGTTTAGTTCTAGGAAGGGAACATAGTCTCCTTTTCAAGTGTTGTGTCGTCCTTTCCCTAAACCTGCCCTAGAGGGAACAGAGCAAGAAAACCAGCCAGCCTTGCCCTTCAGTCCTTGCCTCAGGAAGCCTAGCTCTGAACTGGTACTTTGTAAATCAAACCTTGTTAAAAAACAACAAAACAAAACAAAACAAAAATGAATCCAAAAAAAAAAAAAGAAAAAAACCTTTACAATCAAACTTTGTAAAAAAAAAAAAACCTTCACAATTAAGCAACATACACGCTTAGGGAGGTGGGAGAAGCAAAGACAGTGCTTGATTCCAAGGGAACCCAGAGCAGGCGGCTTTCGATCTAAGCACTGCTAGAGGAAAGGGCAGACACTGCAGCAGGTTCCCACAGGCACGCAGCACCCCTTGTGGCTGACCAGGCTGGAAGGCTGGACTGTAAGGTTGCCCGTTGTGGAGAGGGTGGGGTGCAGCAGGAAGGGGTGAGGTGCAGTATGTAACCTTGAAAAAAGGTTAAGAGAAAGTTCATATTTATTCTCAATTATAATTTCAAATCAGTGTCATACTTTAACATGAAGATGAATTCATTTAATTCTAGGAAAATTAAGCTTCAAATCCAATAAATTAAATACATATATTCCTCAAGTATTTATGTCCAAAGACTTGGTGTTGGTCGTCACCACACAAAAGCAGCCCGCTCCCGTAACATTCGGACGCCAAAGCGTTGCCATTCTCGCTGATAAATCCATAGCTCCTGAGTGGTATCCAGGCACGCCAACACTGCCCCTCCTTTCCACGCAATCAGCCGGGGGTCCATATCCTGGACAAAAGGTAAAGTTATTTTGGCAAATGAGACACATGACATGGTTTTCTGCAAGTGGGGTTGGGGTTCTGCTCAGTCAACAGCAAACGAAGCAGGTTTTACATCTGTGTGGAATAGCAGAAAACTAGCTGGGGTACCTCAGCCACGGAGCTGTCTAACATGTAGGGCTGGGTTCAGCTCCCAGCACTCCCAGCACCAGTGCAGAAGACTGAACGGACACACCCATCTCTGCTACAGCTGAGGAGAACTTCTCAACTTTTAATACTAAAGATGCCACTCTTCACCGTCCCACAGACAAGTCCCACAGGTAGGCACACGTACATGCAGTACCAGTAGAGGAAGGGCACCTCCAAAGAAAAACGCTGCCAGGGTTCCAAATACAGACAGGACCTGTTTCTAAACTTCTGCCTTTGTGTTACTTTTCAAAGTAGCAGAAGTCAAAAGAGGCTCTGGAAGATCTCCAGTCCAAGGCCCAATACCGGCTCCTTATGATGGCCAGGGTGGGAAAGGGAGTGGTCCGGTTGTCAGGAAAAGGGAAGAAGTCATCTCCTGACCCACCTACAATTCCATAAGGTTAAATCCAAACAGAGCAAGGACCAGAAAAGCCAGTCTCTCAACACCAGGTAAGCCAGCATACTCCTTAACCCCCAAAATTTGGGGGGAGGCAGCAGGAGGATCAGGAATTCAGGCTCTGCACCATAAGTTTAAGTACCTAAAAAACCAAATCAGGGCTAGAGAGATGGCTCAGGGGTTAATAACCACTCTTCCAGGGGATCCGGGTTTGGTTCCCAGCATCTTCATGCCAGACCATAATCATCTATAACTCCATTTTCAGGAGACCTATCTAATCATCTCTTCTGGTCTCTGCAGGCACCATGTGCACATGTGAGCACACACATACATGTAGACAAAACACTTAGACACATAACATAAAATCAATAAAAAACAAAAACACCAAACCAAAAGAAAGCTAGTTAAGAACTCCTACTATATTTGTGACTCTCTGAAATGTAATTTTTTCACATCTCTAAGTCCTCAAAACTCCAGTCACAAGCCAGTGCCCCCCTAGATTTCACTCTCCACATGCACTGCAATTAGATGTAACCAACGCTGGTTTCATTAGAGTACCGTCCAACCTGCAACACGAAACAACGCACCTTAGGCCTTGTGATCACGTCCACATTTTCAATAATTCGCCTGAAGGAAGGTGGCATCTTGTTGAGGATTCTGTGTTGGAGAAATTCTTGAGCTTTATGGAACATCAAACCGCCTCCCACAACCAGGATAGAGCTGTACATCTTCTTCTTGGTGTCGTCAGACGCTGAAAAGAGCGACATCATGCCACTTACCCACCTCCATGGCCAAGCCACGATCTGTCACTTGGGAACTCCCCAGAATCCATCTGCTGCCCACCTCCCATCTCGCTACTCCTAGGATTAGAACCAAACTTCTCAAGGAGGCCTACGGGGGCTGCTGTGTGGTTTGGAACCTAGGCTGCCTCTAGCCTTATCCTGGCTAACCATGGTTTTGTAGGCTTCCTCAGTCCAGAATGCCCCCAGCATTTAAATGCTAACTCTCCAATCATCCCTCACATCTCTCATAAGATTCAAGAAAGCCACTGCTAACTCCTCTAGAGAAGGACAAATTTCTTATTACATGTCTTAATCAGAAACTCAGCTGGGATTCTGTAGTTCAACTCTAGCGCCTACCAGAGCTGTGGTTTCATGGTCTGTGTGCTAATCTTCATCGCTAGCACCAGACTACATGGCAGCACAAGCGTTATGGGGCCAGGAACCAACCGCACTGCGTTACTATGTTCACAGTACCCGGCAA